GAACAGCCGGCACCAAGGCCCTAAGGAAGGCCTAAGTGTGGCTTATCAGAGGGACAGTAAGAAGGCCAGTGTGTTGTGATGAGGAAGAGGTGGACAAAGGAAGCTGGGATATGCTTTTCCCCTGAGTACACCCATCCAAGGAGACAGAAAATCTCCCACATATCTCGCAATCAAGATAGGACCAAGCTAAACCTCCTTCCTCTCAGCTGCCCACTAGGGTCACTCTACTGCCCTCTACTGCTCAGGGCCAGTAAAGGGTAGGTTGGGGAGGACCCGCCTCACTCCCATTCCTTCCTGACTTAAAGTCTCTGGTTTCTGACACAGGACACTCTGTAAGCTCATCAGGGTCACTGTAGGAAGCTTAGTATCCTTATTTTACAGATAAGAAAACTGAGACCTGAGATGGGATCTAAGAGCAAGGGAAGGACAGAGCTGGGACTCATCTAATCTGTGTGTCTGGTGAGAGTACCCTTGCTCCTTGGGGTTGTCTATTTATTTATTTAGGTAATAGGGATTGAACCCAGGGGTGCTTAACCCCTGAGCCATATCACCAGCCCATTTTATATTTTATATAGAGAAGGGTCTTGCTAAATTGCTCAGAGCTTCACTAAATTGCTGAGGCTGCCTCTGAACTCCTAATTCTCCTACCTCAGCCTCCTGAGCTGCTGGGATTACAGGCATGTGTCACCATGCCTGGCTCAGGGCTGTCCTTTCTGAGTAAAATACTGGGCCCACCACATCATAATCATGCTGAAGGCTTCTTACAAATGCAGGTTCCTGGTCACCCCCACCACAGAATCAGACTCAGGCCTTGAAATTGGGATTTAAACCAGCTCCTCTACGGACTCAGGAAACCTTGCACCTAGTCCTGCTGTGGGCCTGGGACCGGCAGACTCATCCCATTTAGTGACCTGCTGAGTGACTCTTCTATGGCTCTGCTTCTTATCAGATAGATGGTGGTAAGGAGGATGCGACACCACAAGAGCATAAATTGGGGCAATGTTCTAGGTATCAGGTCAACTTGGAGTTAACTGGCCCATTATTTAAACATCAATTTGATATTTAAAGAGAATACTAAAATGTGGAATATATGCTAAACTTTTTGATTGTTCATGATAAAATGTGAGAAAACTGCGGCAGTCTGGCTGGGCACAAAATAACTGAGCCACACACAGCCTTGTAGGTTCAAACAGCAACTCTTTATTCCCGAACTCTCACTGCACTCTACACACACTTCCAGGGAACACACTCCCTCCACCGGGCTCCGCCCGCCAATTCTCCGGAACCTCCGAGAACTCAACCGGAACTCCAAAGTAGGGGGTGCCCGGGGCAGCAGGATCCGCCCTAATCCCAGCAGGATGTGCCCTAATCCCAGAGCAGGGTCACCTTTCAACCATTCCCTCTAGCAAAATGCCAGGCGTCATTCCGACAAACTGTGGCTCTCAACAGAAAACAAAGGATTTTTTAATGTGGGATTAGCTACTTTGGTCCAGTCTTGGCCTCCATCTCTGCTGCAGGGTCAAGTCTTGAGGGCCTGAATGGCTTCCGGTTTCTTAGTCCTTCTCCCTGGATGCATTAGGATTAATGGGTTCAGTCTTGCAGACAGATGGATTCTAATCCTAGTTCTTCCCTTACTAATTCTGTGCCTCAGTTTCTCCATCTGTAAAATGGGCATAATGCTGCACCGCTCCTGGGTTGTGATTAAGACTTCATGCACACTTGGTGTACACTAACTGCAGTTAATGGAAGCTGTCAGTTAGTTTACTGCTCACAGCCTGGCTTCAGGATTGTTCTCTGCATTACAATTCAAGGTTCCATGTAGGAAGGAACTTATTTGGCCTTATCGTCCCACCCCAAATGCTCTGGGGACAGCCAGCAAAGCCCTGATGGCCACAAGGAGCTGTGGCTGGTATCCTTGTGTCTTGCCCGAGGTCCCTGGGGTTAAGCTAGTGTCTCCAAACTCCCCTCAGCGGGGCAGTGGGTACAGGAATAAAAAGTTGCTGTAGCCCCTTGTGTCTTCACCAGAAGACTGAAATTTAAGAGGCTCAGTGACTTGCCAAACACCACAGAGCCAGACCAGATTCTGAACTATACTAGCCAATACAGTATCCATTAGCCATACCTACATTTAAATGAATTAAGATGAAACAAAATGAAAAATTCAATTCCTTAGCTATACTAGCCACATTTCAAGTGTTGTATAATCACATGTGACCAGTGGCAACCATATTGGACAGTGCAAATAAATATTTACATTATCCCAGAGGGTTATTTTGGTCTAGAGTCATGGTTCTCCGCTTTGGCTGTCCACTGGATTCGCCTGGAAAGGTTTTTAAAAATAGCAATGTCCTGTCTCTCCCTGCAAAGGTTCTGAATAGCATCCAGGGCTGCAAACTACTGCTTTGAAGCTCCATCTGCTTATTTCCTGCAAGTCCTTAGCTTATTTATTTATTCATTCTATGAGGCCAACATCACCCTGATTCCGAAACCAGACAAAGACACCTCAAAGAAAGAAAACTACAGACCAGGAGGATTTTTGCATCTAGGTTCATTAGAGATATTGGCCTAACAAGCCAGCCTAACTCCAGACTGCACCAGTTTGCCCCTGTTCCTCACACTTCTATTCTGTATATTACAAGCCCTCTGTGAAGTGTGTAACCTACACACAAAGTGCTCTTCCTTTTCTATCTGTGCCCTACTCATGGTCCCAAGCTCATGGTCCTGAGAGCAGGACCTGATAAACCTAAACCCTGCCCTTCTCTCCAGTTGAGAACCAGTCCTGCCCATCACAGACCCCAATACAATTCATGAGAAATATTGTAATTATTTCTCTATTTATTCAGCAAATATTTATTTATTTATTCACCCTCACTTTGTGTGGGTCTTGTGCTGGGTGTTGCGACACAGTCACATCTGTCCCCTGGAGCTGACATTCACAGGTAGAAGACAACAACCAAACAAGTTCAGTGTCAGATGATGATAAGGAACTGGAGGAAAATAAAGCAGAGAAAGGGAAGGGGAGGGTTGACAGTTTAAGTACAGTGGTCAGGAAAGGCTATACCCAGAAGGTGATATTTGAACAAAGTCCTGCTGGATGTGATGGGTCAAACTGAGCAGACACTGGGCCAACAGCAGGGCAAAGTCATGAAAACAGAGCATGGCTGACACAATTCTTGTTCAAGGAATAGCAAGAAGACCAATATCACTGGAGCAGAGGGAGCTGGAGGAGAGCAGCAGGAGTAGAGACAGAGAGGTGTTGGCCAGGTCTTTGGAGCAGATAAGTATGAAATCATACCCTTCATATTCAATTACAACTCAACATCAAGCTGTGACATGAAAAATAGTTCACAGGATCTCCCTCCCCCACCATGGCGGATATATTATTGTAGTTATTGAGAACACAGAGGCTGGGAGAGGTGTTGTCACTCCTGCTAGCTCACCAAGCCTGGAGGTGGCAGGGCTTGAACTCATCCCCAGACCTGCCCAACCTTGGTTCAAGCACTGTGCTGCCCTCCTTAGAATTTCAAACCTAGACCATCATCAGATACTAGGCAGACTGATAGCACTCATGGGGCTTTCCAGGTGCCGGCTTGGCTGGGCTAAGTTTTAGGATAGGGAGTGATCCTCGTCTTTCCCACTTCTTTCTCTGTTCCACCTTATAATGGCTTTGGCCCTTGGGCAGAGGTCTAGGAAGTGATGACAGGATGAGAGACTCTTGCAGGGGACCTGTCTGTGGGCTTTGTACCAGGACAGGCACCTCCCTGCTAGCGATGGGGGGGCTGAAAATGAAGCTTCCCTTTCAACCCTCCAATGTGGTGATTTCCCTCAACATTATTTGCTACTCCAATATTGAGCTCTGCCACAGCATGGAAGGTCCAGTTAGACCTGGACTCCAATCTAATTGAGGTGGCATGGAGGCATAGGACCTGTTTAGTCAGGTTGGGTGTCCCCTGCTCTTCTTCCCTGGTGGGTTGAGATACAGAAGACAGTGGAATCTGGAAAGATCAGGAGTGAGTAAAATCTGCCAATGACTCTCATGTTGAGCAAAACTGACATTTGAAAACTATTTTACAAAGGAGCTCTTCTAAATTCAATTTTCTAAATTACAAGCTCTTGTGAACCAGGGGTGTTTCATAATTATAATTGACAAAAACAGAAACAAAAATTCAAATGAAATAAACCCCAAACCAAAAATGCAACCCAACAATAAAAGAATTTTTTTTTTTTTTGTACTGGGGATTGAACTCAGGGGCACTCAACCACTAAGCCACATCCCATGCCCTTTCTTGTATTTTATTGAGAGACAGGGTCTCACTGAGTTGCTTAGCATCTCGCTAAGTTGCTGAGGTTGGCTTTGAACCCATGATCCTCCTTCCTTGGCTTCCTGAGCCATTGGGATTACAGGTGCAAGCCATCATGCCCAGCCAGTAGAAGAACTTTTGAGTTTAATGGATAATTATCACCAGCCCTTTTTATTTTTTATTTTGGGATAGTCTCCCTAAGTTGTTCAGGAAGGCTCCAAACTTATAATTCTCCTGTCTTAGAATCCTGAATTGTTGGGATCACTTATTTTAAGGATTGCATAGTATCTAAAATAAATTAGTCTGAGTATTTCCGATGTAAAGGAACAAATTCTGTGCTGAACCCCAGTTGAGATTAAACATACGCCTGTTTCTTATGTCTGTTCTCAGACTTTCCAGGTCTAAAAGAGACAAGCTCCTCTACAAGCCAGCTCACCCAGGTGATAGTTTCCGAGTTAACTGAATGAACCTAGCTCTGGTTTGCAGATCCAGGGATATACAGTCTCGGGTCTCTAGATGCAGTAAAAAACCCGATGGCCTGACCAGACCCTAATCAATATTGGAATCTGGACAAACTGACCTACACAGGAGAGGTGATAGAAGGTTCTTGAATCTTGCAATCCAGCTGATGAGGTCAACTGCAGGCAGGGAAGCCAGGTAGAGGAAAGGTCTTAACACCAGCCTGGGACTTTGGACCGCAGAAACTGAGTACGGAAGGCCTCTGGTGGCCGGGCCCCAATATTGCCTCCTCCTTCTTTCAGACAATTTGATAGCTTCTCAAGACTGAAGGGTGCTGAGGACATGCTGCGTCACACTCCCTCGTATTACCAATGGGGAAATTGGCCCACGGAGCAGAAGCGTTTTTCCTGAGGTCACACAGCGAATCAGGCGAGAACTGAGAATCGAATGTAGGTCTCTCCACTCTACGGCTGTGATTCCGAGTGACTCGTGTTCTTTTAAATGGACACTTGTCTTAAGCGCGTTCGGAGGGGCGAAGCACTTAGAATCTCCGAGAGGCGAAAAATTAGCTCTTCATAGCATCTTGGGCGGGTGCTTTAAAGCAACAGGACATACTAGCTCACGTGTCCTCCTTCCGAGGTCCTTGAGGCCGTCGCTTTGGGTGGTAAAGCCTGGCTCCGGCGCGAGGCATCCCGGGAAATGTAGTTCCACTTTTCTCCAGACGCTAAGTGTGGGCCGTGTGGAACTTCATTTCCCACAAGGCTGCGCTCCCCATCACGTGGGCCGGGTTACGGGCCGGTAGCGGCAAAACCCTGACCTGAGCTTTTTAAATTCTCAGGAGGAATGAGTGACTGCGGACACAGGCCTTTGGCAGCGCGGTTTGGGGTTACCTGCCTTGGCGAAGCGGAGTGCAGAGACCATGGTGCCAATCACACAACTCTGCTTCCGGTCGGCGGGCAAAAAGCTGAGGCTGGTCTCCTTTAATTGAGGTGGGCGGGACGCGGCGAAGCGATCCGTGTTGCCATTGGCGGCAGTTGGGGGCGCGGAAACTGAACTGGCGCAACTGCCGTCGCCACGAACTCGGGCTCCTCCGGCGTCTCTGGCGCAGCGATCCTAACCATGGCCGCACCCTGCTCAGTAAGTGCCTGCCGTGCCGCCTGTGCTTTAGTGTCCCCTCTGGGATGGCAGACACCTGGCTGGCCCGAGCAGTGACTGCGAGAGGGCGGGGTGAGGCGCTGGGTTCCCGGGCGGTCCGCGCCGCCTCCTGTTACGGTTTGCAGCGGACTGGTCGGCGGTCTTTCTGAGAGCCCGCTGCGTGTCAGGCCCCGCGTCGGTTTATTCTGGTGAACAAACAAGCTCCTGTCTCCAGGGTTCGCATCTTAGGAAGGAAGTCACGAGCGCGATGAGACTCAGGTGTGGCCTGGGACCAGTGTGGGCCTTTATAGTCTGTCTCCCCATCCCGAGCAATGGGTGGCTGGTCTGGGTCTTGTGAAACATCTACCCTTTTCCGACAGGTGTACACAGCAGGCCACTGGGATGTCGGGGATAGCCCAGGTCTGCTGTGTGACCTGGGCCCGGACACCCCATTTGGATTCCGGGCTCTTCAAGAAGACAGAGAGGAACCCTCCAAAGTTGGTCCTTTTGAGAATTTGCTTCCAGTGGACCTGGCTTTCTGGCTAGAGGGTAGTCTGTTGCCTCCCCGCGATCCCCCACCCTGAGGCGTCTGAGAATCTGGGCAGAGGGCCCAGGCTAGGACCCAGACCTCTTGACTTCTAACCCGATGCTCACCCTGCCTCCCCATACAAACCCTTCTTGGGGAAGATGAAGCCAACATCTAGGGAACACAGAAGGAAGAGGGATTTGGGCATTTTAAAGGCACCCATGATCAGAGGTAGATCTGTACTTGTCTCTTCCCACTGAACCCAGAGTTGGACCCTGTCTTGCACTCGTTTTTCCCGAGACAGGTAAGGGCAAGAGGCAGAATGGAGCACTTGCTATCTGTTGGAGTCCCTCTCCCTGTTTTTTGAAAAGGGCGCTCAAGCAGGTGTGCTGGGGGTGGAGCTGGGCATTGGGCCATGGAGCCTTTGTTTTGGTTACAGCTTTGTGGGGTGACATCAGCTTTGCTCTGCCCTATGGACATCCTTTCCCAAGGAGAGTCTTTGCGAAATACTTCATTGTGGTTTCGGATATTTTTTAAAAAATGTTTATTTATTTTTTAGTTGTAGTTGGACATAATACCTTTATTTTATTTATTTTTATGTGGTGCTGAGAATCGAATCCAGGGCCCCACACATGCTAGGCAAGCGCTCTACCCCTGAGCCACAACTCCAGCCCCAATGGTTTCGGATATTTAATATGGAGGGATACATTTGGATGACTGGAGGGTAACACCTCAAGTGCTCAGATACATACTGCTGTTGCATGGAGAGATGCCGCAGTCTGGCTGGGCACAAATGCTGCAGTCTGGCTGGGCACACAATCACGAGCCACCACACAGCTTGTAGATTCAAACAGCAACTCTTTATTCCCGGCTGGGCACACAATCACGAGCCACCACACAGCTTGTAGATTCAAACAGCAACTCTTTATTCCCGAACTCACACCAGCCGTCTACAATCACGTTCTGGGGAAATCCACGTTCTCTTGCCAAATTCACCTCCACTGGGCTTCTATCTCCAAAATATATTGTCTGAATCCTGTGGGAACTCAAGGGGAACTCAGGCAGCAGGATACGCCCTATTCCCAGCAGGAATAATCTTAAACCTTAAACCTGGAACCTAAACTGGGAACGCCCTAAACACGATTATCTTAAAACCGGGAACACCCTAATCTGCCTTGGTCCTTGAGCAAGGTCACGTACATTCAATGTCACTGCAACATGTCAGCAACATGGGGTACGCTGGCAAGGAAATTGTCATACCTACTTGGCTAATGGCTCCCAGCAGAGAGAGTCTCTTCCTAAGTAGTGTCCTGAATGCCCCTACTGTTTCTCTGATGTTGGGTAGAGATTGTGTTGATGCCATCAGGAGTCTGTCCAGGGCTGACCTTTGTGTTCACTAACCAGTTCACAGGGAAATTGAGGGCACAGGATCTGATACCTGAGATGGAAAGTGCTTGAAAGGCCCATTTTTCCTCTTTGCCCTCACCATCCCCAATACTTGGGATTGAACTCAGGGCACTTTACCACCGAGCTATATCCCCAGCACTTTTTATTTTGAGACAGGGTGTCACTAAGTTGCCAAGGCTGGCATAACTTTATTGAGGTACTATTCCTATACCTTAAAAATTCACTTAAAAAAAAAAAGAGAGAGAGAAACCTCATACACAATAATAGTACTTCCCTTCCCCCCTCTTTCGAGCTTCTGAGAACCATAAACTACTTTCTGTCTCAATAGATTTGACTATTCTGGATGTTTCATATAAGTGAAATCAGATAAAATGTTCCTTAAGTTTTCAAGGCTCACCTATGTAGCATGTGTCCTTTTTATGGCTGAATAATATTGTTATATGAATATACCATATTTGGTTACCCTGTTGTTGAAAACGTGGGTTTATTCACTATTTGGATAGTATGAATAATGCTGCTGTGAACATTCACAAGCAAGTTTTTGTGTGAACATGTTTCCAGTTCTTTGAGGTATTTGCCCAGAATTGATGGGTCATTTGTTAACTCTGATGAATTGACAGACTTTTTTCCACAGTGACTATTTTGCTGCTGTTGTTGGTTCGTCTAAGATTTTTTGGGGGGTGGGGGGGAATGAGTTGAGTTTCCATACAAATTTTAGGATTAGCTTGGGGCCTGAGATTTTGATAGGAATTATCAGGGCTGACCTTTGGGTTCACTAACCAGTTCACAGTACAGGCTCTGATTCCTGAGATGGAAGGTGCTTGGAAGGCCCATTTTTCCTCTTTACCCTCTTCACCCCAATACTGGAGATTGAACCCAGGTTCACTTTATCACTGAGCACTTTTTATTTTTTAATTTGGGACAGGGTTTCACTAAGTTGCCAAGGCTGGCCTCAAAACCATCCTGTCTCGGTCCCTAACTAGTGAGGATGATAGGTATGTGCCACTGTGTCTGGCTCCTTGGGCTATTTTGGACATTTTATATAAGTGAAATCAGATAAACTGTGGCCTTTGGTGTCTGACTTCTTTCTGGTATTTTGACAGGAATTATGTTGAATCTGTAGAATGATTTGCTATGTATTATATCTTAACAATATTGTATTCCAATTCACAACATGGGACATCTTTCCATTTTTTTTTTTAGTTTCTTTTTAATTTTTTTCAAGATATTAGTTTTACTGTATGTGTCTTATATTTCTTTTGTTAAATTATTCCTAAATATTTTTTGTTTACCATAAGTGGAGCTGTTTCTTTTATAGATTGCTAATTGCTACTGTATGTGTGTTGATTTTGTATCCTGCTTTCTTGCTGAACTCACTTATTAGTTCTACTAGTTTGTAGTGGATTCCTTAGAATTTCCTGTATATAAGATCACACCTTGAGCTTTTTTTTTTTTGTGTGTGTGTGTGTGTGTGTGGTGCTGGGGATTGAACCCAGGGCCTTGTGCACGCAAAGCAAGCACTCTACCAGCTGAGCTGTGTCCCCAGCCCCACACCTTGAGCTTTTTTAACCCTTCCTGCCTGTTATAATTAGTCTTGGCTCTGGGGCAGCCTCTTCACTTATTTAATGTGACTCTTTTGCAGGAGGACCCCTCACTGGAGAGGCATTTTAAGGGCCACCGAGATGCAGTTACCTGTGTGGACTTCAGCGTCAACATGAAGCAGCTGGGTAACAGAAGGCATCTTGTCCCAGGCACTAGGTTATGAGTTGAGAACCCTTGAGTTTCTACCTGGGAGGTGTGGTGTAGGGGCAGCAGAGCACAACAGTGACGTGGGTACTTTGTCTGGATCCTCTTCTTGTTTTCACTTACCAACCATCAGGGCACTGGGCTTCATGAATTCCATTTTACATGCAAAGAGCATGACACTTAGAGAGGTTAGGGCCTTTGCTGTAGTTACACAGTCTTTGAAGGTAAGACAAGAGTCTGGCTATTCCCTGCACATTCCAGTCTCCTCTTAGTGGGCTCTAAGCTGTGAGCCCATTTCCTTCAGTCTTAGATTCTGTTGTTCACAGTATTATGATACCCCTGGGGTTTTGTTTGTTCATTTGTTTGTTTTTGGTGCTACAGGGGTATCTTACCACTGAGCTACATCCCCAGCCTTTTAATTTTTTATTTTGAGATCAGGTCTCACTAAGTTGGCCTCAAACTTGGGATCCTCCTGCCTCAGCCTGCTGAGTTACTGGGATGACAGGCCTGTGCTGTTGTTCCTAATGGTACACCTTCTTGTTACAGAGGCCTACCAGTGAAAAGATGTTGAGCAGAGCCTGGGAACCCCCACCCCCACCACCCATTCCCTTTTGCTGTGGCTGGGTGCCTCCCTTCCTTAGTCACATGGGATTCATACAGTTTCCTGGTTGTGTCTTTCTTGTTCCCATGGAGTAGGCTCACCCCTTCTTTTTGTCAAGATCTCTTGCCAGAAGCTGTTGGCTTCATGGTTTGCTATAGGCAAAGGGAACTGAAGTCATTTTCGGGTCTGTTCTGGGGACCTCTTTTAGGTTTTCTATTGAGTTGTGTCTTCTCAATGGTTGAATGGGTTGGGCTGGCTCCTTAGTACTGGGAAGACTTGGTCTTTGTGCCTTCAGGGTGTGTCAGTAGGTAGACTAAGGGCCCCATGGAGATGAATTTTCCCAGATCCCTGGATTGTAGCTCAAGTCTGGCATATTGAAGGGCCTCTGTTGGACTGATTTCTATGTAGGACTGTACTTGGAGAGTTGCCAGGCATTAGACTCTCCAAATTTCACGTCAGCGTCACTGGCAGTATGGGTTGTCACTGTGGGGACCCTGTTTGTAAATGCTGGGAATGTGGAGCTAGGCCCGATTTCCCCACTGCTTCCCCAGTATCCTAGTGAAGCCTTGTGGACCACTCAAGCCAAGATTCATAGCATCACCCACTCTCTTCAGCCAGTGGCTCCATGGACTCGTGCCTCATGATCTGGCACATGAAGCCCCAGTCACGCGCTTACCGCTTCACGGGCCATAAGGATGCCATCACCTGTGTGAACTTCTCCCCCTCCGGACATCTGCTTGCCTCAGGATCCCGTGACAAGACTGTTCGCATCTGGGTGCCCAATGTGTGAGTTATATATCTGAGGGGTTTGACAGAGGCTGGGACCCTGAGCCAGGGCTGTCCCCACTAAGGTCTCTATTTTGGCTCTGGGTTGCTTACGGTGTGACATTTGTCCTACCACAGAGGAAGAACATCATCAGAGGCTGGGCTTTAGTTGGGCCTCTCTCCTCAGGTTTGGAGAGGGGTTCTGGGGTGCCACTAGCCATCCTCAAAAGGTCTGCTACTTGACATTGCTTGCATGTGGGTGGAGATGGAAGGGCAGTGCTCTGCTCCTGTGTTGGAGGCTCTGGAGGGACTGGGATACTCAGGATTGGACTGATTTTGGGAGGGTTACTTGAAGGGTAGGAGAGCTTTGATGTGCTTCTTGGCCCTTATGTCACTTATAGGTTTCCTGATTTGTTTTCTATCTTCTTAGTAAAGGTGAGTCCACTGTGTTTCGTGCACATTCAGCCACGGTGAGAAGTGTCCACTTCTGCAGTGATGGCCAGTCCCTTGTGACAGCCTCTGATGACAAGACAGTCAAGGTGTGGTCAACTCATCGCCAGAGATTCCTGTTTTCCCTGAACCAGCACATCAATTGGGTCCGCTGTGCCAAGTGAGCATTGTCATGTCTGGAGCTCTTGGAGGAACCCAGGGGTTGAGGAGGGATATAGTGAGGCTGTTAGGTATCATCTTGTAACCTTGGGCAAGTTACTTAGCTACCCACCAATCTTCCTGTGCTTTGGTTTCTTTATTTGTAAAATGGCAATAATGCTTTGGTTTCTTTATATTTAAAATGGCATTTGTAAATATATTTCCTACATTGTATTTGTTGAGAAGTTTCACTGAGTTGATGACACATAAATTAGTCAACTGGCCACCATGATGATGATCTGACATTGGTGCTGACATAGCACTAGCTGAGCCAGTAGGGACCACTTCTTAACAATAGCAATATCAGTAATAAGACATTGTCAGAACTACAACTGTATAAATTTTCCTTGTTTCTCGGGATGGTCTCTCGGCTAGATGGTATCATTTGCATTTTGCAGATGAGACTCAGAACAGCACAGTGTCTTGTCCCAGGGTACATAGTAGGTAAGTGGAAGAGCTAGGGATTGAACCCAAGTCTCTCTGGCATAAGTCTTGCCTACTTTCTGCTGGAGTTTTCTCCTCCTCAGAGACTTTTTTTTTTTTTTCTCCCCAGAGCTGCTAGAGGGGGTTTCAGGGTCCTAGGGGGATTGGCTTGGAGGCTGGCCCTCTCTTTGGTATGGGAGGCTATGTTAAGCACATGGGGAGCCAGGTGACCTGAAGGACTTTTCATGGTCCAAGAATTACAGACACAGCTTTGCATATTCCTAATTATTTGATTCCTTTTGTTTTATTGTTTTTTGGTACCAGTGATAAAACCCAGGAATGCTTAATCACTGAACCACATCTCTAGCTGTTTAATTTTTAATTTTAATACAAGGTCTCACTAAGTTGCTGAGGCTGGCTTTGAACTTACTCTCCTCCTACTTCAGCCTCCCAAGCTGCTGGGATTACAGGCATGTGCCACTGTTCCTGGCTATTTAATTCCTTTCAACAGAGTTCTCTCCCTCTCCCCACTCTCCCTTGCTGTCTCTCTCTCTTTTTTTTCTTCTCTCTTTGCTCCAGAGAAGAGGGTTGAGGGGGCAAGGGGACACTAGGAAAACATTGCAGTCAGAGATTTGGGACTGTTGAGCTGGCTGTTCTGAGAATCCATGCAAGTTCTTGTTCCCTAGGGCAGCGCTCATTCCTTTGTCCTGGGAGGTGCCTGATTGCTCTTAAGGTCTTACGGTCAAAGTCCTAAGAACAGGAGGGACCAGGCCAGCAAAGTGGCTTGTCAGGCCCTTAGCAGGCCTTTGGTGGTTAGGTCCCCATGACCTTCATGCTGTTGGGTTGGCAGGTTGTGTTTTGCTGACCCAGATAACCTGGGAGCAAGATAGTTACACCTGATGTGGGGTTCCTCACCGCTTCGTGCTAATAAGCCAGGAGTCAGCACTGGGTATGTGTTGCCACATGCCATGTACCTGTTGGTCCCCCTGTCCCCCTACTACACCATGTGAGGATTGAACCTAGGGCCTCATGCATGGCAAGCACTCTACCACTGAGCTACATCCATCCCTTGGCCCTCTTTACTGGGGGGTTTTGTGCATTGTGTTACTGTATGCTTACTGTGGGATAGGTACTACTTTACTCCACCTCAAAGAGAGGTAAGCACTTACCCAGGGTCACTTGGAGTTGCAGCAAGATGTGTACCCCTAGATAGTTCCTGGGTCAGGTAGTATGCATTCAGGGAAAGGTAGCTGTGGAAAATGGTGTGTGATTCCCATGCAGTCTTTGTTAATCAGTGCTGTGACTTCTTCCCTGTCTGGCTCAGATTCTCCCCTGATGGGAGGCTCATCGTGTCTGCAAGTGATGACAAGACTGTCAAGCTGTGGGACAAGACCAGCCGGGAGTGTGTGTACTCATACTGTGAGCATGGCAGGTAAGTCCTAATGCTATCTTTTATCTGCAAGTGCTCCAGTACAGAGTGCAGACCTGGGCATGCCAGGGGTCTTCAGGGGCTGGAGCCATGGGGGTGGCAGCTACACCTCTTCTGCTTCTTGGCTGGTACCTTTTGTACAAGCTCTGTATGTTTTCCTGTGTGAACGGAAAGTATCCCACAAACGACAGGAATGTTTAACCTCAAGCTATGTAATTATTTAAGCCTCCCTCTTTTCCCTTTACTTTCTAGTTCTCAAAATTGTAACATGTCTGTCTCTGAGCGGTTGAACTCACTGCCCCAAACTTCATTTTCAAGATTCCATCTATATTACCTGTGGTGATGGATTTATGAATGAAAGCCTTGTCAGATTTTTATAGCAGGTGATAACTGTTTATACTGTGCCACATCATGAAGAGGGGAAGGAGCCTGCATTCAAGTAGGGACTCAGTTGTTCCAGGTTCCTAAATGGACCCGAGCTTCTGCCCACTTTGGTTATGCTGGGAACCACAAGGAAGGGCTTCTCCTGAGAGCCTGTGTATTGAAAGCCCTTGGTACGTCTCCTAGAGATACATAGCCAGCACTTCAGCTGGCAGGACTTACTTGGGAGCCAGCCCAGGCAAGGGTACTAGTTTCAGCTCTGGAACTCCAGAGCAGCCTTGCTGACCTGTGGGTTTAAAGACAACCTTTTCTGCTTGTACTTGAAAATTGATCTTGGTAAGTCCACCTTAGTTCACTGCTAGTGACTATTCTCACTTTATTCTTGCTCTCCCTTGGTCATTGGTTTAAAAAGGGGGGAAAAAAAAAGTATTCTGGTTTGAGGAATCAGTGTGAGCAGATGCACAGGGCTAGGAAAGCGATAATGATTTTGGTTCCATCCTGAGCCAGGCAGACCTCCTTCAGTTCCCGATGGCCCCTGTTTTCTAGCTTTGTCACCTATGTGGACTTCCACCCTAGTGGTACATGCATTGCTGCCGCTGGCATGGACAACACAGTGAAGGTATGGGATGTGCGGACTCACCGACTGTTACAGCATTATCAGTGTGAGTATTGAACAGCCCCGTGGGCCTATAAACAGCTATGGTGGGACTGTGCTGGTTCCAGATATTTGGTTTGTTGCTGTAGACATTTGGTTTGATGCTCCTGAGGACATCCCTGAGGAGGAGTCTTCGGTCTGTTGGATAACCAGGGATGAGCAGTCTGTGGTGTGCCTGTCCTGCTTGGAATGTTGACTAGGAAAAGGAACCTGGTACCATTGGGCTTCCAAAAAGCCCTTTGGTGCCCAGCTATAAGGTGGCAGAGTCTCACGCACACTGTAGCTGGGATCTTTGGCTAGAACTCCTCCCCTTTAAGGCCACTTCTGGGGCCATCCATTGCTCTTATTTCTCCCCATAATGGAGATTGTCCTGTAGGGCCATGGGACAAGACTGACCATACAGGTCAGGATTGGTGGGACCTTGGCCACCTCTGGTTTCAAGGTATCATCCTCGTGTAAAGCCATATAGAGGGTTGACTTAGCAGCCAGGCTCAGGAGTCAGGCCCAGGGCTGTGCACCCTGATTTAATGTAGCTTTTGACACAGGTATGGGCTTTGAGATTCAGAGCTCTCCCTAATACTCCCATGATCACTTCTAGCTGCTCTCAGATATTTGAGGACAGCACTTTCTTAGGATAACCCTGGTGACCAGACCTCCCAAGAATGGGGAGAAGTTTCTGGCCTGGGAACAGCACAGGGTGGAGGATGACTCTTTGACCAACTTTGGCATTCCTGGTTGTGACACTGGGTATTCATTTGACTCCTTGGAGCTCATGGGACAATGATAGGGCCTCTCTCCGAGGTGGTGTTGGAGGGTTTATGAGTTGGTTCATGTCAAGAAGTAGGAGAATAGCTGGCACAAAGTGGGAATAAGGTACAGTATTAGTGATGCTGCTGCTCTCGCTGAGTCTACTTCCTGAGTTCTTTTTTTAAATCTTTTATTGATTTTTTTTTTAAATACACAATAGCAGTGGAAAGCATTATAATTCTTATTACACATATAGGGCACAATTTTCATATCTCTGTATATAAAATATGTTGATGCCAATTTATGCCTTTATATATATACTTTTTTTTTGCTTGCAATTCTTAATACACACATATACCACAATTTTTCATATCTTTGTTTGTATATAAAGTATGTTGACACCCAATTCAAGTCTTCATACATGTTCTTTGTATAATGATGTCTATCACATTCCACCATCCTTGCTAATCCCCTGCCCCTCCCTTTCCTTCCCACCCCTCTTCCCTATCTAGAATTCATCTATTCCTCCCATACTCTCCCTCCCTATCCCACTATGAGTCAACCTCCTTATATCAAAGAAAACATTTGGCATTTGGTTTTTGGGGATTGGCTAACTTCATCTTCTAACATCTTCTCCAACGCCATCCATTTACCTGTAAATACCATGATTTTGTTCTTTCTTAATGCTGAGTAAAATTCCACTGTGGATATATGCACATTTTTTTTTTATCCATTCATCTACTGAAGGACATCTAGGTTGGCTCCACAGTTTAGCTATTGTGAATTGTGCTGCTATAAGCATTGATGTGGCTGTGTCCCTGTAGTATACTGTTTTTAAGTCCTTTGAGTATAGTCTGAGGCTTCCTGAGGTCTTTTAAGAGTCTGGTCTCCTGGTAAGGCCAATTGTTGGTCAGGACCTGCAATAATATACATCACCACTGGATGGCAGGGCCCAGCCACATAAACCAGGTTTTTTTAAAAAAATATGTACCCAAACATGTATATCATTTCTCTTGTTACCCATTCCTTAATCAATACAATATAAAAACTATTTACATAGTGTTTAAATTGTATTAGATATTATAAATAGTAAAAAAAAAAAAAAAACCCAAAACCAAAAAACACACACAGTCCTGGCATCTGTCATTGATGCTCTTTCAGAACCTTCTAGAACAGAACAGTAGTGGGGTCTACTATCCACTTGGAGACCACCACCACTCGGAGAGTTGTGGTCCTTTCCCTTCTTCAGGCTTAGAGGCCCTTCTTCTGCTCTGGGTCAGGCCTGAGTTAAGGGTTGGGTTGGGGTGTTGGATACATTTGTGCATCTACTGGTGAAGGTGGGCAGGTCAGAACAGGGAGGGCTTGGGCAAGGAGAGATGGGACAGGAAGTTGACAAGACAGTGCAGTTTTCATGAGTGAAGCCTATTTTCCTTCTTGTAAAGGGAATGATAATAGATCCTTATGCAGTGAAGATCTGAAGGGAGAATCCACATGAGGATTATAATATAGGGCTGGGTGTGGTTTGTACCACATGAGTCCTGACGCTGAGAGGAGAGGGTCTTCAGGCCTATCCCTGATGATTCAGGAACCTAGGCCCAGTGTTCATGGAGTACAGCAGCAGGTACCCCTTAGAAAGAGCCTTGAATGCCGTCTGTGGCCTGAGTCCCAAAGATGAGTCCTGACTGGTGATAGTGGGAAAATGGGCCTGTCACTTGAGGAGCAAAGGGATGAGGGACATCTGAGAAAAAAGCAGTGTTGATAATATATGGATGGAGTATTGCTGTCTCATGGTGACTGGTGGGTGGGCTATCAGAGCTTAATGTTAAAGTGAGCTCTGACATCAGAGTGGGGAGGGGTCAGGCCCAGGGAATGGCTTGTGGGATTTGGGATGAGAGAACAGCTGATGCCACATCCTGGGGCTCCATAATTGGAAGGCCCTGGAAGAAAAATGGCCACAAAACAGCTGGAGTGAGAGTTATGAAGTCCATCTCCCAGTACTAGAGTGCTGGAGAAATTGAAGCCAGGGGAAGAAAGAGAGTGGGGTTTCTTGGGGGGGGGGGTCAGGAGGTAGAGCAGTGCAGAGCAGGTGAGGGGGAGGGGTGGGTCCAGGGAGAGGGCCTTGAGTTCTGGGGGAACAGGCTAGGCAGTGGACAAGAGTGAAGCTTAGTGATAATGGGGCTGGGGAAGTGGATGCACTCAGGTAAGTACCAGAACTAAGTCCTGAGTTATTTTAGTTATGCCCAAAAGACCAGACAAGAACAATGTAGAGGAGGAAAAGTTCATTTTGACTCATGGTATCAGAGGTTCAGTCCATGGTTGGCCCACTCCATAGCTCTGGGGCTGGAGTGAAGCAGAGCATCATGATAGAAGGGCATGGCATAGAAAGCAGCTCAGACATAACAGCCAGGGAGCACAGAGTGAGCTCCACTCACCAGGGACAAAATGTGAACCCCAAGGCACACCTCCAACAACCTATCTGCCTACAGTTACCATCCAGTTAATCCATATCCACGGATTAATCCATGGATTAGGACACAACTCATAATATAATCATCTCACCTCTGAAAATTCTTGCAGTGTCCCACACTAAACCTTAACATGAGTGCACCTGAGTATATATCCTAGTGAACAGGCTCCACTGGGAACTTCCAGTCTGCTTTTGCTGCTGTCCTTTCCTCTTGAGATGGAGCTCCTTATTGAGCCTGCAACATCTTGTTTCTCTGCTGCCCTGTTGTAGATCGGAGTCTTGAAAAGACTTGGCACATCCTGTAAACACAGTAGGTTCCCCCTGAGCTCCCCTTCCAATGCTGTGTCACCTGGCAGGTGTTCACAGGAGAGCAGACTCATCCCCTAGCCTCAAGGCTCACCTTCAGGTGCTCAGTAAGCTGAATGGATCTGAGCTCATTGGGTAGGGGAATGTACCTCTCACTATTCTTGCTGATGGAGGAACCAGGACAGGTCTGCTCAGATCTAGGGTCTCCCCAAAGGGTTCTGTGGGTATAACCCACCATGTGGGAAGCTCCCACCCCCACGTGCAGTGGGGTCTCTTTGGAGGCTGATTCCACAAGAAAGGCTCTCAGCATTATGGTGGAAGATGCCTGATCTCTTTTCTGTCTCTGGTTTCTAGGAAACCCAGGGGAAAGGTTTTAAGGATGCAGTGATATCCAGTGTCTCTCTCCCCTGTTGATTCTGGATGGATATCAGGCACTTCCTAAGTGGCTTTCTGGTATGTGAGTCCAGTAGACTCTTCTGAGAGAATTGGTTAATGATATTGCAGTGTGTGTCTGGCCACCCCCCAGTCATGCTTTGTAGAGGGCACTCCCCGTCTTGGGTTGGGTTGTTGGAGTTGAAGCCTGCTTGGGGCTTTGGACTATAGATAGCTGGCACCATTTATCTTGGGCTAGCCAACTCTCCTCCCAGGCAAAGAGTTACTTGGCTCTGGCCTATCACTGTGGGGAGCATTTCTGATTTCCCAATTCAGTTAAGGAGACTAGCTGGTAGAGCCCTAAGAGTGCCAGTCCCCATGGAGGTGGGTTAGGATCCATATGCTCTGAACCCACGTTAAGACTGTTCAAACATCTGAGCAGCAGCCCCCGTCCCAGAATCCAAATGTGCTTTGTGAGTTTACAGGCATGTGCTGATCCATTATCTAGTGATATCTAGTGACAGGCCTGGGTGGCCAGCAAGGCAGGACAATGTCCCACTTTGATGATGGCCATGCAGCTAGGAGGCTATGAATCTGGGTCTCCAGCTCAGGGCCTCCAAGTCTGGAATTCTGCCATCATTCCCACACTGGGTTCCTTAAACTGTGTGATGACTCTAGTGTTTTATCCAAGATCCCAAGGAGAGGTAGTTCCCTTGGCTGCCTCACAGCAGGTTTGACCTGGCCTTCTCCAGAAGCTCTAGTTGGAGCTCTGAATCCCAGGTGTTTTGGGCCACTGGTCCCTAGTATACCCCTGCACTCCCACCCTACCTGAGGCATGGTCATGGAGGAATTTTTTTTTTTTTTTTTTTTTAATGTAGTGCTAAGGATCAAACCCAGGGCCTCATACATGCTCTACACCCCCAGCCCCATCATGGAGGATTTTGAAGTGGCTGCACCCTTTACTTGTTATTTTGAGACTAAAACCATTGATTGGGAGCAGTGTGCTTATCCTTCCTGATCTGGCCAACTTACCTGTCTCTTTCCTTCTATCCTGAAGTGGGCATTTACATAGTGTTTGCAAAAAAGAATGTTTTGGGTGTCCTTTGCTGCTAGTATTAAGGCACTTACAGGTATGAAACAAACACCCCTTGGAAACCCAGAGCCACTGTGTCACAGGTGATACCTGTGATACATCACGAGGATCCTCATGGGCACATGGAAGTGAGCTACCCCTGTGTGACAAGATGTGGGGATGCAGCTTGACCCAAGCGTGACCTGCCCAAAAAAGGTCCCTCCTACTTTCTGGGTTCCTTGGCCAGTTGGTATCCCTTTAGGCCCATGTTTGCTGAAGTCCTCTACACATAGCAGTATGAGCAGAGTGGATTGTGGGTATCCAGGTCTCTCCTTAAGTTCCCTATTGCTTACAAGCTGTGACCAGTTCCTAATGTTTGGGTCTGGGGGCTGTGGTGATATCATTCCACACCTCCTGGGCTCCTGGTGACCTGTGTAAACTCTCTGTTGGTTTATCTCTGATCCTGAGTTGGAATTCCCTTTTTGAGGTGGAGGTTGAGGGATAATAGCAGTCTGTGTCCTCACTGATATCTACCATGGAGCCAGGAAAAAGGCCTGCAGATTTGGACTTGATGAAAAGTGGATTGTTTCTGGACAGTCACTACTCAGGGCATCATGATGGGAGGTTCACCCCTTGTGGAGCAGTTGGGCCCTTGTGTGGCATCCAGGGATGGCTCTTAAGATGAGGCCTTCTAGATTGGTCCCTCCTCTCCACCACCACTTTAGAGGCAGAGAAGTGTTAGAGTGGAGGTGGTACAGGCAGTGAATGAGGCAGGAGAGCAGGTGGAGGAGAGTGAGAGTCCTGTGTCTGGGGCATTCCCCCAAGCCTGGCATGCCAGTCTCAGCCCTCTTCAGAAGTAACTGACTCCAGGTGTTTGGTGTTCTTTTTTTTTTTTTTTAATATTTATTTTTTAGTTTTTGGCAGACACAACATCTTTGTTTGTATGTGGTGCTGAGGATCGAACCCGGGTCGCACGCATGCCAGGCGAGCACGCTACCGCTTGAGCCACATCCCCAGCCAATGTTTGGTGTTCTTGGCATTTATAGTAGAGTGGGACTTCTGTTGCCCGTCCTTGGAGGGAGGTTGTCTCCCTTGGGTGGCCTGGCCAGATGAAAGGCTATAGTGTGGTGTCCACACACTGACTCTGTTTGCCCTTGTGGTGCTGGGGAAATCTAAGGATCCTTGAGCCACCTTCCCTGCTCCACCCTCCTGCCACTGGCTGCTCCTCTGCTACCTTTGTCTTAGGTGAGGGCCTAGGGTGGCCTTCATCCTAGTGTAGGCAGTGGGGTCTCTGCATTCTGTCTCTGGACTGCAGAGACCCTCAGCTCCTCTCTAGACTGCCTCCTAGAGTTCCTGGTACTTGGAGAGTGTTGTTCAGATATAAATATCATGTTACGTAAATCCTTGGCTGTCTCCCCTTAGTGTACTTGGGAACATGTCTTCACACTCCCCAGTACATCAGCACATCAGCTGGGCTGGCATCTGAGGGGCTCCTTGTACCCCTCTGTTGAGGGCTGTTTGATGGTGGGTATGTTACTGGTCCAGTGTGTTCTGAAGCCTCTCTCTGCTGAGATGAGGGCTTGGTTTGCAAACTTGCCTTTATGTTTGTGACAGTGCTGACTTTGCAAGATCATGATTACCTTAGCCACTAGTTCGCCTCACTAGACCATGATAGTGGGTGCAAAGTCACTGGGGGCTTTCTTGGCAGCAACTCTTAAGAGTCTGTGATGAGCAGGTCCATGCACTGGCTGTGGACTTGCTCCACCCAGAACATGCCCTCAGCTTTGAGGAAAGGCTGTGTGACCTACTGAGGCTTCTGGACACCCAGCTCATCAGCCACTTTCTGATTTCCACTTGGTGCTAGGCACTAAGCTGGTAATAGGGACTCAACTCTGCTCCTGCCTGAGGGCAGTCAGGGGACACGGAGGGCAAGAGTTTTCTGTGCCCATGGAAACAAGGGGAAAAAGGGCTTCATGGCTGGAAGAACCAACAGCTGGGCCAACTGGATCTTGGAGAGTAAGGAACAAAGTGGGCTTGGGCTAGGATGGTGGGGAAGAGGGTCGTGGATGGGGTTGAGCTGCCAAGTGGGTAATGTGGCAGAACTTGGAGTTGTAAGGGACATGGTACAGAGAGAAGAGAGACATCCATGCTGGCACTGAGGTCTGAGGGCTCGCTCTGTGGACTTAACCTGGTAGCATCCCTGGACTGCAGAGACCCTCAGCACATGTGGGTGCTGACGTGTAGATGGAGAAACTGAGACTCAGTGCAATCAAGGTGCTTGTTCACGGTCTCAGGGTGGGCCAGTAGGGAGGCTAGGATGGGAGCCCAGTACCAACTGGCTCCTGAAATTGTCTTAGCCTTGTGATTGCCTGTCCCCATACCCCCCCCCCCCAGAATATTGGCATTGTATTGGCATTTTGAGGGTTTAATTTTCCATTTGGTTTTCCTAAAGTAACAATATAAAACAGATTAAACACTATGTTTGTATGTTCTCTTCTGCCCTGGCTTGACTGCTGGGTGTCATGAGAGAGGGTGAAGGAATCACTTGATTCCTCTGGTTTGCCACATCCATTTCCTCTTCCTTGGTTCTCCTACTGTCCACCCTTGACTCTGGATGAGTCTTCTCCTGGCCTTTGATTGTGCCACTCTCCTGGGAGATTAATGTGGGATGATCCACGACCTGTGCTGAGCCAAGGTTGGCCCTGATTGCCTGTCTCAGGCTTCAGCTTTGCTCTCTCAGCCTCCCAGCAAGAGTCTGACTGATGTCCTTCCCCCAGTACACAGTGCAGCGGTGAATGCCCTTTCTTTCCACCCATCGGGAAACTACCTGATCACAGCCTCCAGTGACTCAACCCTGAAGATCCTGGACCTGATGGAGGGCCGGCTGCTCTACACACTCCATGGGCATCAGGTGAGAGGCATCATCCTGGTACTGAGTAGCATGGAGTGGGGCAGAGGTGCAGCCTTGATGCCAGTGCAGGTCAGAGTTCAGGGTTGGAACCCACTGTGGTCCCTTCAGAACCTGTGCAATAAGTAAGATGTATATATGAGATAGCCACCTTTATGACCACCAGGGAAATGGTGGCCTTTCCCATAGCCACCTTTATGACCACCTTTCTGGGCTGATCGCTGGGGTTGGGCCTGGTGTAGCTGAGAAGGGAGTAAGGGAGGCAGATTGGGTGGGGTGTGGGAAGGGCATCATCTGGGCATGGTTTGCAAACTCCCCCCGGGATAGGTGGCTAAATGGAATCTGTCCCCTAATGACCTCAGATATCCCTTCGTCTAGTGGTTGAATAGAGCTCTGGAACCCATGCCCTGTGTCACCATCAGAGTTCCCAAGGATTCTGGGGTGGGCTGACATCCAGGCTTCAGAGATAGACAATGAATGTGTGTTGCAGAGATTGAGGCACAGACCTGGGAATTTTTGAAATTCAATCAAAGGAGTAGTGCCCTTCTGTCTGACTGACTTCAAAGCATCCAGTACCCTGGACTGCCTGGGTGGTTGGTGGCCAGTGTAAGGCCCCTATGGATTGGCTATGGGAGCTGGGCTTCATGCCCCTCTCACTAGCAGCTGACTTGGGTTCAGGCCTCTCATACTCACCCTACCAGCAAGTGTGGCCTAGCTGTGCCTTGCTCAGCAGATCAGTCATCACAGTATCTCCTGCTAGCACAAAGTTATTGTGTTTAAGTGGGTAGGGAGTGTGCAGTTCAGAGATTTTTTCTTTATCTCCTCTACCTATGAGCCGGAGACAGACAGATGAGTGAGGTCCTGGGATGCTAGGCCAGTATGGGAATCCAGTATAGGCATTGAGCCAAGGGCTTTCAGCTGCTGTTTGGGGTTCATTGCCTTCTGGGTTAGGGAGCATGGGGGGGCCTTTTGGCCATGGCCGGGGGTTGGGGACATAGGCCTTTATTTTTGTCTCCTTGGGACCTGGAGGCTCCTTGCTATCCCCCAGCCTTGTGGTGACTCCTAGTCTTCCCTGTCAGAGACACATTATAGGACCAGCTGGGCCGTTCTCCCTGGGCCAGCACATCCAAGTGGAATGTGCAGCCAGCCTGGGCTTGGGTGACTGCTGGTCCTGGTGTAAGCCTGCTGGAGTCACTTCTATTACCCCTTGGGCAAGTCGTATTTAAAGTAATGTGTAAGCAGTTTAGGACATTATAGATAGGAGGGCATGTGAACACCATGTGACTGCTGCTACTGCATTTGCTCACTATAAGCAGAACAAAAAGCATTACATAGAAACAGCACGGAAATAGGTGCATATCAGGTGATCACCCAGGACATTTTGTTTTCTTTCTTTCTTTCTTCTTTTTTTTTTTTTATGTGAGGGACCTTCAAACAGCCAATTCCCCTGTCAACCTGAGCACACTTCAATGTGGTATCTAAAATGTCATTGCTGGTGTTCAGGCACAGCATCCAGCACCTAAAGACACACCTGTTGACATTGTTCTCCCTGTGAAACAGGGAACGTGAGCATCTCCTTGTCTGTGTTAAACCTGGACATGTGGTAACTAAGTTGAGGAGTTGAAGATCTGTGGGTGTGGAGTACAGGAAAATGGTTCCATGGAATCACTGGGTCATTTCTTCATCAGGACACCAAACTCACAGTGCCAGAAAGAAACTAGGTGACCTGTGTTCATGTTGTCATTCATTTGTTTAGCATCCACTCTGGCTTACTAGGATGGTCATGAGGGAGATAGAATGGATGTCATGGGGAAGTTGACAGCTGAAGGCAGGATGAGATGAGTTGGAAGACTGAGAGAGGCAGGCTAAGTCTTCAGAGGTACTTGGAGGGTTGGGTAAAGGTGGGCAGACCCTGCCTCTGTCTCAGTGTAGTTCAGATGAAGATGGTAGTGAGGATATGAGGCTCTAATTTTTTTCTGCTCCCAATCCCCCAAACTCCCTATTTAAAACAGAAACTTAGGACTGGTGTGCCACAGGTTTTAGGGACTTTTCTTCCTGGAATAGTTGTGACACCCAGCCCCACTGTGGATGCTGCAGGTGTCAGGTGTGGGAGGTCATGGGTTGGACCTGCTCTGGGTTCCACAGGGGCTGAAGATGGGCTATCCAAAATTGCTTGTCTCTGCCCTATCCCTGATCTGGCTTTACTCCTTGCTTCTTTCTAGAGAATGTTGATTCTCTGCCTACTCTCCTCCTCAAGACCTGTGGTGAGACCACCATGCACTCCCAGCTGGTGGTGGCACCTTGGTGCTGTTTTTCACAGTTGGCTCTGGTCGAAGGTCCCCAACATGGACAGACCTGACTTAATTTCCTCACCCATTCTGCAGTGTGGGGTGGCTGACTTGAGAGGGCTTTCATTTGGGGTGCTCACAAGTGATGTGGAAGCAGCATCAGGATTAAGAGTCCAGTCTCAGGGCTGATGTAGGGATGTGAGTGCATGAGCACACGTGGGAAAGGGCTGCGCATGAGAGAGCTGTGTTTACCCCAAGCAAAGCCCAGCTCACCCTCCTGGCTTTGCCCCCTGGGTGAGGGTAATTCAGAATCCGCTAATGTTGGCTTCCAAAGTAGGGATTTTACAAGTTGAACAGCCTTCATTTGGGCAGTTGGCTAAAATACAGAGCACACAACTGGACCGAATTCCTAATGCTTATGGAAATCCATGACCAGGAGTGGGGTCTGCTATGCTGAGTTCCAAGGGGGAAAATCCCTAGAGGCTGGTCAGTGCTGTCTGTTCATAATTATGAGAGTTTGTGAGATACTGGTAAGTACATTTGGCTCAGCTCCAGGAAGAAGTTCTACGTATTACCCTCTGACTGAGCCCCAGGAGTCACCCTAAATGCAGATGCATCCCAAAGGGCGTTGACCAGTGGCTGAGCTCTGACTGGGTTCTCTGCCACAGGTGTTTAATCCTCAGAATTTGCTTTGTGAAACTCATTCCCTCTTTCATCCTTCCAGGAAGATGTGCAGGTGGGCTCTTCGGTGACGAACTTTCACATTCTGTTCTAGGAGATGGTGATGTGGGGGCTGGTGGCCAAGTGCCTGATTGAACACAGCTGCTATCAGCCACTTCCTGCTTTGTGTGGCTTAGCAGCTTCAGGGCTCCCAAGTGGGACTGGCTGCCCAGGGATTCCATCCTGTAGATAAGGAGGAAGGCAGATATGAAAGCACTTTTGAGTCCAGGTGGTGAAACAGAGCTGTCTAGACTTGTAATGGGGTCTCATGCCTCTGAAAGTGGCCCAGCTGGGACAAGTACCTAGCTCTGTGCAGTTTCTACCATACTCACTCGGCCTCACACACATTTTAACATTCAAGTTGTGATTTCACTCTTGTTTTTGGATCACTGGTCTGAGTGAGATATCAGCAGGCCTCATGGTCGCTTGGATCCCAGTCTTGTTACTACATACTTATTCTGGTCTAGCAAGAGGGAACCCCATGAAACTTTGGTCTGGATTTGGAGGTCCTATTAGTGTAGCCCTGGGGGATCCATGAGAGGGAGGGCCACTGAGTTTTCTAGTCAGTGGGACAGCCACTCCCTCACAGAGGCTTCCATTTTCACATCTGTGAGAAGAGGATGATGCAGGCTAGGGTGAAGCCAACATAGAGGTCAGCTTCAGGGAGCTGCTCTGGAGTGAAGCAGACCTTGACCAGAAGGAGGGCTAAGTGGGTACTAGGAAAGTGCTGTGTCCTGAGGGCAAGACTGAAGCAGGCCCCTCTGGGGAGACCATGGGGGAGGATCCCCCATAGGAGAAAGAAGGGTCAGGGCTGCAGTGCTGTTTGGTAGCACTTTTCTTGTCTAGACTAAGGTCAGAATCACCTGGTGTGATTTTCCTTTGTCTTCTAAAGCACAGGGATCTCCAGGTTGAAGGACTTGCTAGTGCCAGATGAGATCAGGATCATCCAGTACCCTGAGTCTCCTGGCTGGACTTCTATGCTGGCATTGAGGGTATTTCATCAGCCAGGGAGTCTGACCATGCATACAGTTTGGTGGTTCTTTGGTGCAAAATGGGCCACACTTCCCATTGGCTCATTTGAAGGACCTTTTGTTCGGAAAGCCCTATTTTGGGGCCAGGGAGTTGTTTGGATCCACATTGGGCTGCTATAACAAGATTCCTGAGACTGAATAATTTAGAAAAGTCAGAAATTTATTTCTCATAGTTTTGGAGGCTAGCAGGACAAAAATTAAGGTGATGGTACTGTTGGGGGCTGTTCTCTTCTTTGACTGAGGCCAAGTACTAGGAAGCATTTTGTGAGGGAGGGCTCATACCATCTTAGTGGTAGATGATGAACAATGCCCAGTTTTCTGAGGAAACCCCTGATGTCTCCAGGAACAGCTCATACCTCCCCATTCCTCATTTTGAAAAATTATAGGTGCTCTCCCAACTTGTTCAGCCTGAGCAGCCTAAGCTCCAGGAAGCTCCAGATAGCAGAGGAAAGGGCTGCAAAGGGGCTGCATTAGCCTGGTGCGCCCCCTCCTCTTACAGCAGGGAGCACCAGTGGGAGAGGGAAGGGCTTTCCTACTGAATGTGACTGTCATTTGAAGCCTCGTGCCCCAAGTGAAACTCTCACAGCTTTGTGTGGGGGAAAGGTGCTAGAAATACGATTTATTTTTCTGTATTTTCTAAAACATAATCTTGAGCCGTGCTCATTTGGTTTAAATCCCCTACAGCTATTTGGGAGAGGGTGGTGGGCGGTCCGTGGGCAGAGAGTTAAATCTGGTGTTGGTGGCTGTGCAGTTGGTGTGTGTGTCACTGCAGAGTGACTGAGCTGCACGCAGTTCCATGCGTCCAGCTGGCCCATCATGTGGATGAGCATCCCTCACCTTAGGCCAGACCTGCACAGGGGCTACTGACAACAGCGGGCACTCAGACTCTGAGTGCAGGGTCCACAGATGTTTCCTGGGCACATGTGCAATGCCAGGCCCTAGGCTGGAGCTGGGGAAATGGCAA